AACAACAACAACAACAACAACAATAACAACACTTTTAGGCACATGGGGAAAACAAAAATTGTGAGACTTTATTGTTTCACTCACTTTTTCACAGTGGTTCTAGAACCAAACCCACAAAAACTCTAAGGTATTTTTTTACATAGAAGCCTCTTTTCATTGAATATCTTTCACAACGGGTACCACTTAGCATAAGATTTCCTGCAGATAACAGGAAGAAATACAGAGCATTACAAAATTGGAATTCATTTTTATCTTGTTTAAAAGAAACCTGGGAAGCAGGCAGTCCCAATATAGTGCAGCAGTTCTGTAGTCAAGATAGTTCACTGTCCTACTGACTGTAGCAATATACTCAAGTGCAAGACCACTTAGAGGAAGATGCAGGGCTGTGCAGTGTTTTATTCTGTTGGACATACAGTTGCTATGAGTCATAACCAACTCCATAGCACCAACAGCATGTGTCATTAGGCATCCAGGCTTTAATATTTTGCCTTCACCATTTTTAGCTTTCATTCCTAAGATCACTGAGCTTCTGCTCACATGACCTCTTTGAAGGAAAAAGAAAAGGCAAAAACCAATGAAAGGCAAAAATAAATGTCTCTTCTCTTAAGTAAGCTTCCTGAAAATACTATTCATCAGTTCTTCTTACATCTCGTTAGTCAGAAATTGGCCTCATGGCTACTGCATTTTGCAAAGGAGGCTAGGAAATATGGTAGTTTATCATGCCTGGCTATTTGTCAGGTTAAAACTTAGGGTTCTGCCACTTGAAAGTTAGTAGACTATTGTTTTGTGGTGCAAAAGCATACAGAAATAACTGTTCCATGTAGGAAACGTTTCCCAACTTAAAATGCTAAGAAGACTGACTTTAAAACATGTCTAACAACTTTATTGAGATACATGTTACCCACTGTAAGTGCACACTTTGATGATTTTTTAATATTTTAGTATTTAAAAAGAATTGATGCTTTTGAGCTGTCGTGTTGGAGAAAAGCACTGAACATCCCATGGACGGCCAAGAGAACAGATACATCTTGGAGAGGGTGCAGCAGGAGTGCTCTTTGGAAGCACCTCATCATACTTTGGGCATTTGCTAGGAGGGTCTATTCCTTGGAATAGGACATGATGCTGGGAAGGGTGGAGGGTCAGCGAAGGAGAGGAAGACCCTCAACTGGGTGGCTTGACATGGTGACTGCTGCAATGGGCTCTTCTGCGTCAGGAAGTGTGAGGATGGCACAGGATAAAACGGGGTTCAGATCTTTGTTCATAGGGTCACTATGAGTCGTACTTGACTCGACAGCACCTAACACACAACATTATTATGTGCTGTTGAGGTACAACTGGTTCATTGCTGGTCCTCCAGAATTTTTGGAGGCTAAAAATCACATGGGAGGAGAATGCTCATCTTTCTCCCATAGAGCAGATGGTGGATTTGTATTATGTGTCTTTGATTTGGCAGCACCACTTCTTGCCCACTAGGCCACCAGAACTCCCTGTTTCATTTATTCAATACTCTTCTCCAACACCAAAATTCAAGGGCATCTAGTCTTCTTCAGTCTTCCTTACTCATTGAACAACTTTCAGCTGCATGGGAAGCAGGTGAAACATCATGGCTTGGATCAAGTATATCTTAGTCTTTAAACTGATATCCTTGCTCTTAGGTATTTTTTAAAATTTATTTTATTATTTTGTGTGTGTGTGTGTGTGTGTGTACCATCAAATCAGATCTGATTGGTACAGGAGGAGATTGCCCCTCCTTCTCCAGCAGAGCATCTGGTGGATTCAAACCACATACCTCTGGGATTACAGTACAGCTTCTTGCCACTAGGCCACTAGAGCTCCCTGCTCTTTAGCATTGTAAGAAATCCTTGACAGCAGATTTCCCTAATGCAACATGTCTTTTGTACTTGGCTGCAGCTACCATAAGCGCTGATTGTCAATCCAAGTAAAATTAAATAATTGACAACTTCTTTTCTCTATCATAATGTTGCATATTGATCCAGTGGTAAGGATATCTCAACCAAGGAAAAAATCTAGTATAGGCCAGATTAGTAACTACTCTGTTATTGGTTATTCTTCTTTTCTGCCCCACTCATTTTCACTCTAGCTCTATAAAGTCAGACTGTACATTCCGGAGAATCCAGATCTCCATGAACAACCTCATGGTTAAAGCTAAAAGCCACTTAGCTGTCTCTGCTTGCCCTCAGGTATCTGCCCACAGGTCCCTGGAGGCAGCTCAAGTGTTTTGAGGGGCAAATTCCACTGTGACCTCTCAGTTCTGTGGACTCCACTCTTTGAAGGTCAAGCCTGCTGCCTGCCCTCAGCACAGCCTCCAGACCCATTGGTTGTACTTCTACAACTAATTTGTGAATTAATCATGTATTCGCATCGATTTCTTGTTTGGTGATGTCATGTTTCTGCTTCTAGGCTACGTTTTCTGACTTTTCTCATTGTTGGACGTAGTTAACTTCTTACGTTCTCTTACTTTTCCCAATGTTTAAGAATAGGAGTTACTGACAAAACTCTGTTTTGACAATTTACCTCCCAACCCCTGCACTTCCTAATGCTAACACAGACACGCACATGCTGTTCTCCCTGTCTGGAACCCCATCCCCTCATTTCATTTATGTTATTGCATTCTTTCTTTGTGCAAAAGGAGGGCTGCTTACATATGTAGGACCCACCAAGTCTGACTCTGCTACATCTCTGTTCCCAGTCTTCTTTCAGACACTAGTGCCTAGACAACACCCCCGCCAACACACACACTGTTCCTAAGCTCTCTAGACCACCTAGAGTCTAGTTCCTGAACCTCCTGGTTCAGGAGGATGAGCTTGCTATGCCTGGGAGGAGAGGCAGCCCTCTGTAACAGCAGCTTGATAGTACTGGACATCCACCATCCTGTCCTCCACTAGACTATAAACTCTCTGAGGACAGGGATGCTGCCTGATTTATTTTAATGTTATATCTAGAACAAGAAATAGAACCTAGCTGATGCAAGAATATTGTGTGGATAGCCAAAACAAGAAACAGATATATCTTGGAAGAAGTGAAGCCAGAGTGTTTCATAGAAGCAAGAATGGTGAGATTTCATCTCACATACTTTGAATATATTACCTGGTGGGGCCCGTTCCTGGAAAAGGATATGATACTTGGGAAAACAGAGGGCAAATGAAATAGAGGAAGAATCAATGAGAGCTATTGAGACAGTGACTGCAACGCTGGGTTGAAGCATATAGCAGAGATTGTGAGGCTGGTACAGGATGAGGCAAGGTTTCATCCTGTTGAACACACTGTAGCTGAATCAGAGCCACTGAAGGGCACCTGTCAATAAGCTGGAGCTAATGGAAAGGTTTGCAGTTTGAATCCACCAGATGTACCACCTAAAGAGAAACCTATAGCCTGGAAACCAGACATCTAGAGGGTCGCCAGGTAAAGAGAAAGAGGGAGGGAGGGAGGAACATGAGACATCTTGACAATTCTTAAGCCAAATGAGAGAAACACAGGTGAGGGAGCCTGGTGGCAGGGGCTGCTTGCTTCCTGCCTGGAGAAATCTTTGATATATGCTAAGAAGAGAAGAGGTGGTACTAGAAGAGAGACACACAGACTGAAAACCCGAGGGAAACTGAGGTTTGAAGGGAACTGAAAAGATCTTCTTTCTAGAAGTGCAGTAAGAAGTCTCCTCTATGTTTCCTAATAAAATCAAAGCCTGCTCATCTTAAGGAAATCTTGCCAACTCCTCTTTGAATGTTCAGGACTCAGGTCGTTCGAGATTTTAATTGCAGTAGAGCCTCCATTGTCAACATCCCACCAGTTTTTGGTGGCTCCTGAGGAAATACCTATAAAGGGAGACGGCGCTGGCGCTTGCTAAGGTGTTTGTGTGGGGTGCGTTAATAGATGACACACTGAGAATTCAATCAGGCAGGGCAAGCTCCCCACCCCTCCTGGGCTTCCCAAATTGCTCCTCTCCGTCTTCGGCTTAATTTCCTTCCTCTTCTCATCTGTTTTCTTTATAGCATTATCACTACCTGCCCTTTGTAGTCTTCTGTTGCCTTTCCTCACATTAGGCGAAGCAAGGCTACATCTAACGACTGCTGTATCTCGGGCTCTTATCAATGGCTGGTAGGCACTAAACAAAACAAAACAAAAAAAACCCCAAACCCACAACGATCTCAGAATGACCGAATGGAAGTAAAGAACAATAGTTGAATCGCTGCCATATCCTGGGCTCTGTCCTTGAGGACGCTACAAGGAGGGTGGGGGAAATTTAGGCCTGGAAATAAACACACCACAGCGCGACACCTGCTTTGTAGGGAGGTATATGCCAAGGTCCTGCAGGATCTGCGGGGTTGGAGAGCTTCTGAGTGTCGGGGCCTTGGGAAGAAGCCCACTGTGTGCCTCGAGGGCCAGGGAGGCAGGTGGAGTGGCCAGAGATGCGGCAGGAGACACGGGCTGGAGCGCCTTTCATGCGCCGGTGCTCGCAGCATCTTCACTTCCAGACCTACATGCCGGACTCCCCATCTCCCCTCTCCCTCTCCGCGCATCTGGGTGCAGAATGCCGGCCCCAGCAGGACCTCTGCGTCCTGGGCCCCCTGCCACCTCCTCTCCATCACCTAGGAAGGCCAGTTCCAGGTCTTCCAGTCGGCTCGGCGCTACCTGGGAGAGCTTCACCTGCGGGCTGAACCCCCGCCCCTGCCCGCGTGGGCGCCAGGTCCCCGCCCCCTGCCAGCGGTCTGCTGGGGCGTGCGCGACCCCGCCCCGCCCCCTCGGCCCGCGGGACCCCGGCCCCGCCCCGCCCCCTCCACTCGGTCCCAGGGGGCGGGGCCGCGCGCCTTGGCGTCTCGGAGGCCGGGGTTGGGGCGGGCACGAGGCAGGAGGCGGGGCGACGCTGCCCTCAGCCAATCCGCGCCGCGATCCCATCCATGCAAATACGGCACAGTGGAGCGAGCCCATCACTCGCCCCTGCAAGCAAGCTTGAAATGGGCTTCCGCGTGAGCGACAACCGCATCGACCTATCAGTCTGTGTTTTGGGCCGGCGGGGGCCAATGGCGCGGCGGGGGAGGCGGGCCCGGGCTGTGTTAGGGTGTCCTTGCAGGGTGTCTGAGCTAAACTTCACCAAATAATAGCTGTTTGTATTTTGGCTGCTGCAGGAGCCATTTTAGGTAAGTTCTTCTCTTAACTTTTTATTTTCCGCCCTGGCCTCGGCGGGCCGGCCTTGGTCCGCAGGCCCTCGGCCCCGCCCGCTGGCCAGGCGGGGGGTGCCCCGATGAATGGAGCTGGGATGAGGGACTGCGGCGGCGCCAAGGCCCGACCGGGCCGGGGTCCGAGCGGAGCCGGCCGCCACTGGGCGGCCTGCGCGGAGGCCAGGCGGCG